CAGGGGCTCGCCTCCCATTGCTACAGTGGACATCTAACTCCAGATAAATAAGGTTCTGCCCTCCCTGGCCTCCACCCCCTCCAGCCCTGAGTATAGCCTTGGAAGGGAATCCTGCAGGGAATGCCCACCCTCGCAGATAAAAGAGAAGAAAACCAACTCTAACCCAAGCGTCTCCCAAGCTAGGAAATATTTCACACACACACATGCAAGTATTAGCCAATGCACACGCGGGCGTGGATACATGTTTGTACCTATAGGTGCACAGGCATGTGTAGCTCTGCATGCAAATGAGTGTGCACCACGCACACCTGTGGTGGAGGCCCAGGCCAGGGTGTGACCTGGTACAAGCCCCTCCCCTCCCCCAGCTGGTGACAAGTCCTAGACACAGTCTCCTGAGTGCTGATCAATTCATTCAGGACAGTGAATATCACTGGTTGGGTTCAACCTCTTTGTTCTAAACCAGCTTGTTCTAAACCTCTCTGAGTGGGACTGGGAAGTTGGCTCAGTGGTAGAGTGCTCCTCTTGCATGCATGAAGTCCTGAGTTCGATTCCTCAGCACCACATACACAGAAAGAGCTGGAAGTGGCGCTGTGGCTCAGGTGGTAGAGCACCAGCCTTGAGCAAAAGCAACTCAGGGACAGCGCCCAGACCACAAGTTCAAGCCCCAGGACTGGCAAAAAAATAAAAATAAAAGTAAATCTCTGAGTGGTGTGAAATCACACACACATACACGCACACACACACATCCATGTACACGTGCACACGTTACACCCGGGCAGGCGCTTGGCTGTCTCACTAGATGGCGGGGCGCCTTCTAACTCTGCATCCAGGGACTTAGCCATGCAGAGCCTTCACATCACCCCAGACCTCCAGCCACAGCCTCTACGACCAACTGCCCAGGAAGGCAAGCCACCTCCTCTGTTACTCCCCCCCCACTCAGGGTGCTCCCCATGTCCCCATGACCCCTGTGCTTCCTGGGGGAGGCCTGGTGCCCTGGCGGGCCTGCTTCTCTTCCCCCCCCCCCGCCTGCCAGGGGTGAGCCTGGCACGGGGCAGGGGGCAGCGGAGAGCTCTGACCGGAGCACGCACTAAGGGAAACGCCCGACACACGCCTTTCGCTGTCTCCAGACATCTCCACGCCACTGAAAGTGGAATCACAGGCGTCTGAGGGCCTGGTCATAAAAGGAGCAAGCAGCCATTAACCCTTTGTAAGTGGCTTGGTGCCACTTTAGTAGGCCTCATAAACACCGAACACTGCTGCGGTCCCAGCGCCCACCCTACTTTGGAGCTGAGAAAATGGAGCAAGAACCATGAAAAAGAGCCCCTTGCCCAGAGCTGGCAGGGGGGAGTAGATGAGGGGCCTCTGGTTAGTTCCCACACACACACACACACACACACACACACACACACACACACACACACACACACACACACACACACACACACACACACACACACACACACACACACCACACACACACACACACACACACACACACACACACACACACACACACACACACACACACACACACACACACACACACACACACACACACAGCCCTGGCCGGCCTGTGGAATTATTACCATTCTAAAGCATGTTGTTGACCAGGGGCTGGCTGAATATTAAACAGTAGATCACATTTCCCCTGGCAGGCAGGAAAGCATTTGTTTTCAGTGTGTTTTCCTAAGTCTCACTCCCCAACATCAGGGCCTCATTAACTTTACTAACGCAGCGCGATTTGGGAGATAGCCTCTTTTCCAAAATACCATTCACCACCATTTCATGTTTTTTAAAGTTCAGCACACACCATCAACTCTCCATACTTGTTTTTCTCAAAGTCTGGCTCCCCCCGCCCTTCACCGCTCCCCTGCACTGCAGGGAGGAGACTGGGAGGGCTCATGGGGCCAGCCGGGCTGCTGTGAGAAGTGGGGGTGGGGGGGCCGGGGAGGGAGTGGACAGCCCCAAACCAAGTCCTGGCAATGCAGAACTGTCCTGGATTTTGTTGTTGTTTTGGTCAGTTCTGGGGCTTGAATTCAGGGCCTGGCGCTGTCCCTGAGTTTCTTTTGCTCAAGGCTGGTGCTCTACCACTTGAGCCACAATGCCACTTGTGGCTTTTTCCGTGTATGTGGTGCTGAGGAATCAAACCCAGGGCTGCATGCATGTTAGGAAAGCACTCTACCACTAGACCACCTTCCCAGCCCTGTCTGTTTCTTTGTCTGTCTGTCTGTCTCTCTCTGTCCCTCAGCTGCGTGAGGTCTATTGGTGTGGTAAGTTGGATGACATGAATGAGATGAACATCTCTAGGAAACCCTGTCCGTTCCGTCATCATCTCCCCTTTCTACTGTGTCTCCCTGGGTCCTCCTCTCTCCTCGCTTCCCACAGAAGTGGAGCCTGTGGGCTGTGGAAGGGGGCGCGGGAGGCGGTGCTAGTCTTGGGGTCCCGGGCCTGCATGGCGGGAACGATCCCACCACTCTGAACTCTTGTACGTTTTGTCTAGGTTTCATTTCCTCTAGGCCACAGCACCCAGAGCGTGGGGAAGGCAGAAAGCATTTAGACAAACCCGCGTTTATTGACTGTGGACAGAGGGTGGAGGGCGGAGGGAGGACCAGGCTGGACCGGTCTTTCCGCTGTCTAAGCTGGATTTTCTAATCCTTTCCAACGCTGTAATTAGGACGTGATGAGGGGAAAAATAGGTCTGCACTCTAGCCACCGGTGGCTTGTGACATGTGAGTGGAGATAGGCAAGGAGTAGATGTCTCCCAGGCCCCTTTGACGTTGCCAGGAAGAGAGATTGTCCACTTGAAAGGTGGAAAACAAGTCGGGTGCCCCTGGCTCACGTCTGGAACCCTAGCTACTCAGGAGGCTGAGATCTTGAGGATGGTGGTTCAAAGCCAGCCCCTGGTCAGAAAAGCCCATGAGACTGGAATTAATCACCGAAAAGCCAGAAGTGGAGGTCAGGGCTAAAAGTGGTAGAGCGCCAGCCTTGAGCAAAAGACCTCAGGGACAGCGCCCAGGCCCCAAGTTCAAGCCCCAGGCCTGGCAAAAATAAATAAGCAAGGAATACTTGCGGAATTAAACCCACTAAGGATTTTATTTACCCACCCTACTGATATTACCCTACTGTGAGCCCCTTGGGAATTTATGTCAAGCTTGCTAAGTTGGAAAAAAAAAATGGACGAAAAAGGGACGCTTTCAGGAGGACTGCTCCCCCTTCTAATATCACTTTAAACGCTGATCCCTAAAACCAAAGATGGAGGAAAGGGGACCCGAATTTCTCCCCAGGAAGGAAAAGGAAGAGGAAGGTGGTAGAAAGAGGGTCAGTCAGGCCTTCATGGAGTCCCCAGCTCCTGCGCCCTCTGGTGCCCACTGACGGGACAGCGTTCTCATCGGAAGTCGGCTTTCATCTTTACCAGCCCAGCCTGGAGGGGACTCAGGAACCCTGTTGTTTTTTGTGGATCAGTACCTTGAAATCCGGAGATGGACTTGAGGCTGCCTTCCTGGCTCTCTGCCCTCCTGTAACTTGTCTGGAAACGTTGTCTGTTGCTCTTGACCAGCTGCCTGCCCTCTAACTTGTTTCTCTCTGTACCACAAGCATTTCCCAGAAATTAAAGCAACTAACCAAAATTAATAATAACAGCATGCTAATCTCAGTGCTATATGTCATTTTATTACCATTGCTCCCAATACAGTGATAACTGATCACAGATCAGAGTTCAGATAAAGGCTTGTAAATAACATCACTAAGTGTTAAACGTGGTGTAAGCAGAGCAAGTCAGTTGTCATCCTAGCTACTCGGGAGGCTGAGATCTGAGGATTGAGGTTTGAAGCCAGCCACCCAGCAGGGAAGTCTGTGAGACACTTGCCTACAATTAGCCAGCAAAAATCGGGATGTACAGCTGTGGCTCAAGTGGTAGAGCACCAGGCTTGAGTGGGAAAGTTCAGGGACAGTGTGTAGGCCTTGAGTTCAAGCCTTGGGATGGCATCAAGTGGACTGATGGGAAGGGAGTTGTCTCACTGGGAAACCACACTTCCCTACTTCTGTCAATTTGCTGGTGGGGACTCAAGGAAAGTCATCCGGCCAGACACACAGACATTACTGAGCACCACATTTATCTAGGTCTTTATTTGGAAGGAAACACACCTGGGATAAGTGATTGAAATTCATACAAAAGAAAGGTAAAGCCCTTGTAACTAGACTCACTGATGGTCAACCTGATCTGGAATCAGAAACATTCACGCGCCAAGATGCCCGCCCCTTCCTCCTCCCACAGGCCCACCAGGCGTTCCAATCTACTTGCAACTTTGTAGTTTTATTCTCAGTTAATTGGGGACAGATCCCTCAAATGACTTATTTCTCCTTCAAAAGAAAAATCAAGGCTAGGCAGGTGGCTCAGTGGTAGAGTGTTCGCCTACCATGCATGGAGCCCTGGGTTCGATTCCTCAGCACTACATACACAGAAAAAGACAGAAGTGGTGCTGTGGCTCACGTAGTAGAGTACCAGCCTTGAGCAAAAGAAACTCAAGGACAGTGCCCAGGCCGTAAGTTCAAGCCCCATGACTAGCACAAAGAAAAAAAAAATAAAAGAGCCAGGCCCTGGTGGCTCACACCTGTAATTCTAGCTACTCAATAGGCTGAGGTCTGAGGATCACGGTTCAAAGCCAAACCCGGGCAGGAAAGTCCGTGAGACTCTTATCTCCAAGGAACCAACAGAAAACCCGAAGTGGCGCTGTGGCTCAAGTGGTAGAGTGCTGCCTTGAGCTGAAGAGCTCAAGCCCCATGACCAACAAGAAAGAAAGAAGGGAGGGAAGGAGGAGGGGAGGGGAGGGGAGAGAAGGGGAGGGGAGGGGAGAGAAGGGGAGGGGAAGGGAAGGGAAGGGAAGGGAAAGAAAATGATGGTAGGCTGGTAGCCCTGGAGAAAGGAGATGGGAGAGGAGGGAGGAGAGGAGGAGGGAGGAGAGGAGAAGGGAGGGAGGGAAAGGGCGAGGGGAAGGAAGAGCAGGGAAAGAGAAGAGGAGGGAGGAGAGAAGAGGTCAAGAAGAGAAGGGAAGCCGGGTGCTGGTGGCTCACGCCTGTAATCCTAGCTACTCAGGAGGCTGAGATCTGAGGATCGCGGTTCAAAGCCAGCCCGGGCAGGAAAGACCGTGAGACTCCTATCTCCAATAAACCACCAGAAAACCAGAAGTGGCGCTGTAGCTCAAGTGGTAGAGCGCTCGCCTTGAGCTGCAGAGCTGAGGGACAGCTCCCAGGCCCAGAGTTCAGGCCCCACGACTGACAAAAAAAAAAAAAGAAGAGAAAGGAAGGGGAGAAGACCTGTGGGTGGCCTTCCCCTGGCTGGTCCATGACAGGCTTCCTGTGGCTTCCCTCAGATGCCCACGTAGACGCCGTTGATCAGGTAGTCGAGGCGCGAGTAGGGCCTGGTGCGTAGGGCGTGGAGCAGCGCCTTGCCCAAGAGGACCAGGCCCAGGGCCAGCAGCAGGACACCGGACAGCAGGGTCCCCAACAGCAGCCACCTCTCCAAGGGGGAGGCGGGGGTGGCGGGGCGCCCCCTGTCCTCCCCGAGTCCCCAGGCCGTGGCCGTGATGGCAGTCGCGGACAGGGAGAGCATGGCAGGGGCCGGCGCGCGTCCCCGGCTTGTGGTCAGCCTGGACATGGCTCCCTGGGCCTCTGCAGGCGCAGGGAAGACAGTACTAGGAACCACGAAGGAAGTCCCCGCACGTGGAAAACCCGCAGACACCGGCTGGGAGGGGACGGGGGGCTTCTGTGGGACTCCGGAGTCAGGTGTTGGGGTGGCAGAGCTGCTGGCTGGGGAAGTGGCCCCAGCTGGGTCTGAGGCTTTGAGGGTCCAAGAAGGCACACCTCCTCCCCAGGGCCGGGTGGGCTCCCGGGGAGAGGGGGTGACGGTGCCTGGGGTCCCCTCAGGGCCAGGGGAGGCCCTGTTTGCTGTCAACTCTTGGTGTGGCAAGGCAGCTCCCGGCCATGCGTGGTCATCTGAAAACGAACAAAAAGAATTGTAAGAGGTTCAGATAGGACCTGGGGGGGGGGGGGCGGTGAGCAAGGAACGTGCAGACAGTGCAGCGAATCCGGCCCATGGTAGGTGTGCAAGGAATGCTTGTAAACCTGACCATCCAAGCCCAGCCCAGCAGGATTGCAAACCAGAAAGTAAAAACAACACAAAGCCTCCTGAGCTGGAGGCGTGGCTCAAGTGGTAGAGAGCCAGCCCCACCAGCCTGAGGCCTTGAATTCAAACTCCAGGACCTCAAGCAAAACCTGTTCCATAAGCAATGGGTGGGGTGATACAATTCCATGGACTCAAACTCAAGACCTGAGGTCCTAGTTTTTTTGCTCAAGGCTAGTACTCTACCATTTCAGCCATAGCTCCATTTCTGGATTTATTTTTTGTCGGTCATGGGGCTTCAACTCAGGGCCTGGGAGCTGTCCATGAATTCTTCAGCTCAAGGCAAGCGCTCTACCATTTGATCCACAGTGCCACTTGAGGTTTTCTGGTGGTTATTGGAGGTAAGAGTCTCACAGATTTTCCAGCCTAGGCTGGCTTTGAACTGCAATCCTCAGATTTCAGCCTCCTGCGAGTAACTAGGATTATAGACACCAGCCTTCCTGTGTATGTTTCTTTTAGTAGGAAGGTATACATAGAATTAACTAAGCAAAGACTTTCACGGGAAAATTTTGGTATAATGAAATTCAAAATGTGTCCAGTACCAGTGGCTCATGCCTGTCATCCTAGCTACTCAGGAGTCTGAGATCTGAGGATCACCATTCATTCCTGTCTAGCCTGGACAGGAAACTCCATGAGACTCTTAGCTCTAATAACCTATTAAACACACACACACACACACACACACACACACACACAGAAGTGGTGCTCAGGTGGTAGAGCACTCACTTTGAGCAAAAGAAGCTCAGGGACAGTGCCCAGGCCCAGAGTTCAAGCCCCAGGACAAGCAAAAAAAAAGAAAGAAAGAAAGAGAAAGAAAATGAAAAATTCAAATCATACTTAAGGAATCTTGAGGAGAAACTCTCACAGACACTGGGTCCTTGCTGGGTGCCGGTAGCTCACGCCTGTCATCCCAGCTACTCAGGAGGCTGAGATCTAAGGATTGCAGTTCAAAGGTTCAAAGCCAGCCCTGGCAGGAAAGTCCATAAGACTCTTATCTCTAATAAACCACTCCGAAAACCAGAAGTGGTGCTGTAGCTCAAGTGGTAGAGAGCTCGCCTTGAGCTGAAGAGCTAAGGGACAGCACCCAAGTCTAGAGTTCAAGCCCCATGACAGACAGAAAAAAGAAAGAAACCAGGTCCTTGAAGACTTACCGGGGATGAGCCTGTATGTGTGGAGTCCGGCGGCCGCCGGCTTCAGGGGACAGGACGCCTTGCTGGGGCAGAAGAACAGGTAACAGTTGGGCTGTCCCTCTGCTTTTCGAGCGTCAAAAATCATCAGATTGCACACTTTGTTTCCTGTGAAGGAAAGTTTGCCAAGGGAGGCTGCTGGGACAGGATCCTGCCTCCCTGGGAGGCCTAGCAGAATGAGCCTGGCCTCTAAAGTCCACCGCAGACACTTGTCCCATTGACCTCTTCCCTTCTCTGTCCCTTAGTTGTGACACGCTTTGGCAAAGTGAGTGTATGTGTGCCTATGCGTGCATACCGATACTGGCTTTGAACTCCCAGACTTGTGCTCTTACGTGGCTTTTTCCACTCAAGGTAGGTACTCTATCATGTGCACCACACCACGACTTCCAGCTTTTTGCTGGAGATGAGAATCTCTGTGATTTATCTACCCCAGGTTGTCTTCAAACCTGGATCCTTCTAACTAAGGCTCCAAATAGATATTACAGGTATGAGCCACCGCCAGGGCCTGGCGGGAGGATTTGTGTGTTTGCTTTTTTGTGCCAGTCCTAGGGCTTGAACTCAGAGCCTGGGCACTGTCTTTGAACTTTCTTTTAAGACTGGCATTCTACAGCTTGAGCCACAGCTCCCTGTCCAGCTTTTTAGTGGTTTATCGGAAACAGAGGCTCACAGACTTTGCTTCCCCGGGCCGGCTTCAACCCCCTGATCCTCAGATCTCAGCCTCCTGAGTAGCTGGGATGACAGGCGTGAGCTGCGGTGCCCAGCCCTCGTACTGCACTCCTGTCCAGTGTGTGTGCCCCCCCACGTTACTGTCCCCTGCGCCCTGACCTGCGATGTTTTTCGTGGCGCAGCAGCGACGGAGGCAGTCTGCCTGAGATGCAGCATGGGTGGGCTCCTCGCCCCGGATACCTCTGGCAAGCGAGGACTGGATGTCAATGACCACGTCCTCCAGGCTCTGGGACAGGCACTTTTGGCCAGCCGACAGCTGGAGGGTCAGCAGGCTGAGGGTCACCAGGGTGTACAGCCAGCTGCAGTCTTCCGTGGGAAGCATCGTGGCCCCCAGAAGTAGAAGGTGACACCCTGGCAGGCTCAGCCACCCAGAGAACTCTCTCTCTAGAAGAGAAATAGAGAGAGCCCCTAATGAGTTCTGTCTATCATCCATCCATCTATCCATCCATCCATCTATCCATCCGTCCACCCATCCATCCATCTATCCAACTATCTATCCATCTGTCCATCTATCCATCCATCTATCCAACTATTTATCCATCCATCCGTCCACCCATCCATCCATCTATCCAACTATCTATCCATCTGTCCATCTATCCATCCATCTATCCAACTATTTATCCATCCATTCATCCATCTATCCATCCATCCATCTGTTTTTTTCATCCAAAGATTCTGTCTGTCTATCTGTCTATCTTCCTATCTACCTATCTATTTTTGCTAATCCTATGTCTCAAACTCAGGGCCTGGGCGCTGTCCCTCAGCTCTTTCACTCAAGGCTGGTGCTCCACCACTTGAGCCACAGCTCCACTTCTGGTTTTCTGGTGGTTCATGGAGATAAGAGTCTCATGGACTTTCCTGCCGGGGGCTGGCTTCGAACTACAATCCTCAGCTCTCAGGCCCCAGTGGCCTGGCTGGGTTTTAAGAACCGCGAGAGGAGCCCTGGCCTGCAGGTGCCTGGACACGGCCCGGTTCCCACCAGCCAGCACCTGAATCCACCCGCGGCCGAGGGGGCGCGGGGGTGGTGTGTGTGGGGGTGTGGGTTGTGCGCAAGGCGGGGTGCGTGGGCTGCTGGGGTGCGGGGATGCACGGGGGGGGGTCCCATACCCGGCGGCGGCGGCTCCGGCTCTGCATCCAGTTCCTGCTTCCGCCTGGGGCGGAAAGTTTGCAGCGGGGACAGCGCGGTCCCCGGTCCCGCCCGGCACCCCGCCCCGCCCCCAGCCCCGCCCCCAGCCCCGCCCCCGGAGCGTCTCCCGCCCCCTCCCCCTTTCCCCCCCCTCCGCTCTTCCAGCGGCCCCAGTGTCAACACCACAGCCCGCTCGCTCTTCCGGACACTCCGGGACGGGGTCACGGCAGGCCTCTACCTGGCGCCCGGCACACTGCCGGCCCCAGTGGGTGTGGAGTCCCGAGCCAGGACACGCCATCTCCGGATAACCCCGCGCAGCTCCCACCCGGGCTCGCGGGGGCTCGCGGCACCAGCCGGCTGGGGGGCGGCGCGACCTTGCAATTGGTGCAAGTTGGGGGCAGGTGGGCGGTGCTTACAGCAGATGGGCGGTGCTTCAGGGAGAGTAGGCGTGACCAAAACAAGTGGGAGGTGCTTACAGGAGAGAGTAGGCACGGCCACCGCAGGTGGGCGGTGCTTAGAGGGACCGTGGGCGTGGCCACCGCAGGTGGGCGGTGCTTACAGGGTAGAGTGGGCTTGACCATCACAGGTGGGAGGTGCTTACAGGGAATAATGGGCGTGGCCACCGCAGATGGGCGGTGTTTGCAGGCAGGAGTGGTCACGGGGTGTGGGCAGCGGTAACAGGCGAGTGTGGGCGTGCTAACCAAGGGTGGGCGGTGCGTATGAGTGATTGTGGACATGGCCACAGCAGATAGGCCGCGCTCACAGGTGGGCGTGGCCACACGGGTGGGCGGTGCTTGCAGGTGAATCTGGGCTTTCTAGCTTTGGGGGCAGTTCAGGCCCGGGGGGAGGGGCTCTGGCTCTTTAAGGGGGCGTGGCCACGCCCCTCGCGCGCTCATCTCCCCCGCCCCTCCTCAAGGGGCGTGGCCTCCCGACCCGGAACTGAAGCCCGCGTCCCGGAAGCAGCGCGCTGAGGCATCCGAGACCTGAAGAGAAGCGGCGCCGCCCGCTGACATCCACTTTCCGCCTTCGTTCTCCGGGCTCCCCGGAGCCCGGGAGCCGCGGGCCAGGCCTCGCCGCCCGCCAGGCTCCGGCCCGGGCGCGGCC